AGCTAATCCAAACACAAATTGCACATAAATTCTGCCTGGTTGTCTTCCATTTTTTTTTAACCCAAAGACAAAAACAAATGAGAGGTATACTGCAGTTATTTTAATAAATGTATTTATTTGTTTGTTTCATATTTATTTTTATATATTTTATTTTATATTTTTTTAATACATTTTATTTGAATTTTTTCGAGTATCTCATTTTTCCCACACAAATTGCACATAATTTCTTTCTGGTTGTCTTCCATTGTGGATGCTTCTTGGCCACAATAATCTTTTAAAGTGGACCGTGCTTCATTATTCACAGACTCTTTCCTCTGCAGGCTTTAAAGGGTCAGAGATCACTGACCTGTCCAGCAGCGCTGGAGTCGCACACGGCCGTGTTGTATTGTCGGTCCAGTTCGGGGGCGTTGTCATTGCGGTCCAGCGTCTCTATGGCAACCGCTACCCTGGTGACTTGGTTGGGGCAGTAGGTCAGCTAAATCTTAATGACCATGAACAGAAGTTAACTCCAATCTGTCTCCTTACTGTTCTCCATACGCTCTTTGCTCTTTTGGGACATAACGTTACATCACGAGCAGAAGTGGCCCGAACGTCATCTGATGTTCATGACATTACATAAAGCCATAACAGAAGCACACTTATCGCACTCAGAGCGTGTGTCTAATATGAATGTAATTACTGAATATAAGCTGAACAAATCCACTAAAGACTCAGAGTGACTTCTGAGGATGCAAGATAGTGTTTTACGAGGGCCAACGGGAAGCACAAACAGGCGACCTTGAGCTGGGGTGGACCGGACTCAAAAGCAATTCCATTTTTCATTCTACAGTATTATCCCTTTCTCTTCCATTTCTGTCCGCGCGTGTCTCTGCCATGAGCTTTCATGTCCACGGCTGCCCACAGAAGTAATAGCCTTCCTGTGGGCCGATTACACGCTGCTACCTGTGTGAAATTGTCAGGCGCTCAGAATTGTTGTGATGTGCCTTTAAGAGCGGCGGCGGTGCAGAGGAGTTCTGGTACCTCTCTGTGTGGCGATGACGGTAATGTTATGCCATTGCTCCTGTTCCCGATCCAATTCCACGGTGGTGGTGATGAGGCCATTGTCAGAGGCGATACGGAACAGCGCCTCGGGGTCCGACTCGGGATCAATTGAGTACCTGAGAAGAAATGGACAGGAATAAAAGAAGGAGGGCAGACAGATTAGAAGATATAAAGGATCCAGTGCATCAATAAGCCAGTTAAGCAAGTGAAACGGAGCAGGTTAAGTGGAAACAGCCCACATGCTTCCCCTGGCAGACAGAAACATGATGCAATATGAGTTTTTTTAACTAATAATGTAAAAACTGTATGTGCTATGTGGGTAAAACTCACAAAAACCTGTCAAGATGATGTCCTTGTGATATTTCACCCCAAAATCAAGGAATCTATGTGATGCAAAGCTGAATTTTCAGCATCATTACTCCAGTCTTCAGTGTCATATGCAAATCATATGCTGATTTGCTGCTTGAAAACAGTTATGCTGCTTAATATTTTTTTGGACCCCGTGATCATTTTTTCCAGGATTCTTTAAGGAATAAAAAGTTAAAAAGAAAAGCATTTATTCAAAATAGAAATCTTTTGTAACAATATACGGTACAGTTCAAAGGTTCGGGGTTAGTTTTTTTTTTTTAAAGAAATTAATATTTTTATCCAGCAGGGATGCGTTAAATTGATAAAAGGTGATAATAAAGACTTATATTGTTAGATTAAAATAGAAAACAGTTATTTTAAATTGTAATAATATTTTACAATATTACTGTATTTTTCTGTATTTTCGATCAAATAAATGCAGCCTTGATGAGCCTAAGAGAACTGTAAAAAACATTACAGTATATTAAAAACATTACTACACACACACACACACACACACACACACACACACACACACACACAGTCTCAATCTATGGTGGTAATTACATTTTTTTTGTATAATCATTATCCTAAATAACATTTTGTCCTAAATACAATGAAATAGTATTTTAACTCCTATTATTACACACTTTTATTTTTGCATAATTTGACAAAATTACATCTTAACTGGAAATAATGCACGCTAAAATATTCTGTTTTAAAATATATTTTTCTTTGTACATGTTTCATATTTTATCTCAAGCTCTTTACTAATGCCTTGGTAGTCATGGTAGTCAAATTAACAAATATAGATATGGCTCTTTGTTTAGATCTGGTTTTAAAATAAAAAAATTTTTAATCATTAATTTTCATATTTTTGAAGTTTAAAATTAAAAGTCTGGGTCTGAAACTTGGGTAAATAATAATAAAAAAAAGTATAATAATAAAATTAATTTGAAAACAGCACAAATCAATTATAAGGACATGCTAAAAAGTTTCCAAAATGTAATTTTCTGTTTTAATGTGGCCTTCAAAAGTCCCTGGCATATAAAAGTAGCCGCAGCTGAAGAAACACTCACACATAGTAGCATTTGCTTAATATGTGCTGCCTATAAATTATGCTGATAAATTTTAATTAAAAACATTGCAAAATTACCGTATTAAAGAAATTAGATCTGAGCATCAACATTAAGAATAATGAAAAATAAAAAATAAATAAATAATACATTATGGCTTCATTATCATGAAAAGGTCACAATGCAAAATAATGGGACTCTCCTAAAAACAAAGCAAATAAACTAACTAATTTTCTGTATAGAAAATACTTTTGCATTGATTTTGGAGTGACCAGTGTGTTCTTGTGAGATTCACCCATACATGTATGTATGACTAGATAAAAGCAAGTCATACTGCATAAACAAGGTGAAAAAATTGTGTTTACTTGATGTTGTTACTAAGGCCTGTATCCGGGTCCACGGCGGCCACTCTTCCCACCACACATGCCGGAGGGCAGTTTTCCGACACATCCAGCCGGTACCGCGAGCGGGAGAATTTCGGCGGCTCGTCTGCGTTCAGAACCGTGATGCGCACCATTGCACGGTCCTTGAACGGACCTCGTCTGAGGAACCGCGAGTCCACGTTTGGGTTTTGCACCTCCACCGCAAGAGAGTAGGTGCTTCGCCTCTCGTAGTCCACGGCCTGGTGTTCAAGATAAAAAACACTTCCTCATAAAACATTACTTTAGTGAAACTCACATACACCAGCATTCGTTTTACTGTGTTTTGTCACCAGGAAGGCGCTCTAAAATATCTTTTCATTTCAGTGAGATGCTGAAACTCCCACGTTCACTCCTTTTTCATCTCTGCACCTCAGTAGATTACAAAAAAACCTATATAAAGCGTCAACAAAAGCAATGTGTCTGGGTTTCAGCTCTTCATAACTTAAACGACTGCAGGGCTTGCTCTGCTGGTATTAAGACGGAAGGAAGTCATGGATGTGGTTATATTAACATCGATAACCACTACAGAACTGTATTAGGGGTTGTGGATGCACTTTTGACGCTGGACACGATGACATTGAAGAACCGTAGGTGTCCACAATCAAAGTGTCAGAAGATGCAAGTGATGTAAAATAACAGGACCGATATTATGAGCCTGTCAAGAACGTAAATGGTCTCATTATTTTCATGTCATGTTGACTTTAAGGGAGGCAACAATAGGGTTGGGAATCGAAAATCGATTCCGATTCTAGAATCGGATACTTAAGGTCAGGAATTGGATACTTGTTGTCAAATTAAAATTTCGATTCCGCCTATCGATTCCTATTCAAATTTTTTTTTTCTTCTTCATCTGTGAGGACCGGACCTAGCGATCTGCCAGGACCTTGCTTGCTAATCTAAGCGCTCCAAAGTTTGGCTACATTTGCGATCAGAAGCCAAAAAAGCTAAGTATGATATCTGTGATAGCTAAACATGTTGCAAGAGAGGTGTCACCACCAACATGACAAAGATCCTTTTAATAGATCGTTAAAGATTGCGAGGACGATTCAAACACCAATGTGATTCTATTCCTAAATTCCAGTGATTCGTCTGTTTCATTCTTCAACCTTTGACGTGTGCGATCAATGTTGTGATCACTTGGTTCATCTGGGCTGCGTACGATCACATCAGTGTGATTTGAACATTTACATTTGCGTTCGCGCTGCCATTGACCTAAAGAGAGCAGCTGTCTGTCATGAATCTTGATGTCATTATTTAATCACATTGGAATCGAAACTGGGAATCGAAAAAAAATCGGAATCGATAAGCAGAATCGGAATTGATAAAATTCAAACGATACCCAACCCTAGGCGTCAAGGAAAATGAGAATGACATGAGAACATACAGTATGACCAACCGTATTTACATAACATACAGAGAATTTAAAGGTGCAGTAGCGAATGCTTCTGGCTACTGAAGCTCAATTTCATGCATTGCTGCACTCCAAAATGTGAGCTTGAAATGCATTGGCCAAGAATTCACATCTGCATTTGCATGTGTGTGTAGTTTTTGGCCAAAGGGTCAAAGAAAAAGTTGAAAATAGTGCTGCAAAACTAAATAACAATAAAAACGTATTAGATAGATAGACAAAGACTGAGAGACTGAGAGACAGACAGACAGACAGACAGACAGACAGGCAGACAGACAGACAGACAGACAGATAGACAGACAGACAGACAGAGAGACAGACAGAA